AGTAGAAAGCAGAACAGGCTGACTGATGAAGTACACTGCTGAAGGGAGCAGCATGTGGGTCAGGAGAAGTCTGCCAGGCCATGTGGATCTCCTCCAGGGCAGGCGATCGAACTCATGCTGAAGTGGCTTAAGCTTCTTTGTGCTGCGCTTTAACCGGCTGCAGCTGCGCCACCAGGGAGGGCCCTGAGGTAATTAAAGTCTTATAAGTCTGTAGGGTCTTGATTGATTTCAACATGAAATAATTTACATGCCAAGAGTCACATCTCAGGAAGTTCTCTTTTGATCATCTTGGGGTGGGGCTATCCTTTACTGCATAACAAATGACTGCACAACTCAATAACTTAGCACAACTCTCTCAAGGATGTGTTAAACAGCTGCCGGCTCTGCAAAGATTTATTGTTTTTGGTTCACTCTGCAACTTGGTTGAGGTGTGCAGTGATGGAACATTATCCTTTAGATTAAAATCTATATTACTTTTCTTAATAGGTTCTGTGTTTTAAATAACCTTTTCAAATATAAGGGGGAAAATGACACAGAATATTTACAGCGTAATAACCCCAGTGAAAAACCTTGCAAGCTGACTCATCAGGAAATTATCTTAACTAAGATCTGATTCTTTTCTCTTTATTGTAACTTAATATCCCTTACATTTCTTAATTTCGAAAGATCTCTAATATGGATTTTTATATGAGGTTTTATTTATTTATTTTTGCATAGAAGACCTGGGGTATAGGCCAGAGGAGCAGCAGGTGAGAGGATTCACCAGAAATAGAATGGGAAGCAGAACAGGTAACTCTGAGGGGATATAAATGCAGCTAAGGGGAGCAGCTGGCAAGACAGGAGAGATCTGCTGTACCTTTTGTGGGTTAGTACCCAGGCTGGGGAGACAACTCAAGCCTTCACAATGATAGTGATGAGACTTAACCCCTAGGCCACCAAGGAGGTCCCAACTGTCTTAATTTCTCAGGGGTATAGCATGACACAAAATTTGTCAGTAAGAAAAAATTTGTTTCAGAAAATTGCATGGTCAGGTGCTACTTTGCTAGTATGCATTACCATCCCAATTGTTAAAATTTGCAAACAATTCTATACCTATTAGTAAATAGAAAAGCTACCCTAAGCCCAGTGCTAGTGTCTTCCTGCTGCCCATCCTACTCCAAATGTATTCATATCTCCATGTGAAGGTAACAGCAGAGGCCTCCCAGAACCTTCTGCAGGATTTTGACTGGTTTCATTTTATATCAGAGTTCAACAGAACAGTGGTGAGGTTTATTTGATACCATGATATTTATTGTTATCTTTAAATGTTTGGCTTTAGCACTCAGTTGTCAAACTATTTAAGAACTTGCTTACAATTAGCCTATCTTGCCACTAGATGGAGAATGAAGACTGCTTACAGTCTTCAGGTCAACATAGCCTTTAATGATGGCCACTTAAGTATACTGCATGTGCATGGGACTTGTTCTTAATCTCATCATGCAATGTAAATTAACATTGTGATTTCAAAGGTGAACTTAGAACAAAGTTTTCTCAGTCTAAATCACAAATTAAAATAAAGTAAGCTTTCACTTTAATGCCTCCTCTAAATCTCCTATTCTTATTTTGAAGGGAAAGGATCTTTAACTCCAGGAACAAGTCAAAAAATTCACCATTTTAGTTTAGATGCTGAACATGCTGCCTACTATAACAAAAAGCTGTGGCAACTGTTGTCCTGGTAGGCTAAGGACTCCTGGGAAACTCAACCTACTTCATTCATTCTGGGAAGGCGGGAAAAATACAGAATGAAATCAGGGGAGAGACTACATCAACAGATTCCAGCAGCTGAAATGAGAACTTTGTATTTGAACCCGCCTGACTTACCAGAGCTCTTACTTTCAGAGCTCTTTCTTACAGAGCTTATTTTCTTCCATGACTCCTTTGATTGGCAAGACATTCAGAGGCTGGGTTAGTAAATAGTAAAGCTACCCTAAGTAACTATAACCCTTAGAAAACTATAAGTAACTATAACCCTTAGAGAACTATACTGATAGATATTCAGATGCTTACAATTCAGGTCTAGCTTTTGCATCTTAATTCAGATGTCTTCATTATAATCAAGCTATATAAATGTACTTTTAAATTAATGTCTATAGGTTTCAATTCAATTCAATTTTGGAAACAGCTAAAGAAGAGTTTCCTTAGAATTTACTAGAGGATTGCATCCCTGCCAATACAAGATTATAGTAAGAGTTCTCTAGATTGTGAAGATATTGATTTAACCAGTAGTAATTATGCATGTATGAGAACAACCATGTAAAGTTTCCCACCATTCGAGATAATGTATAAATGCATTGTTGAGAAATGGTGTAGAAATAAGTAGAGTTGATTATAATTCCTCACCTATAAGATTTAAAATGTTTAAACTCACTAGCAAAAGAAATTCAGTTATTTCAACTAATGTGTCTTTTGTTTTTTAAAAGCACAAGGGCGTTAATCATGACAGACTAGGGAAAAGAATATAAACTGCTTTTAAGTTTTCAAGAGGACAATTTTGCAATAATTATGAAAAATTTAAACATCCACTATTTGACTCAGTGCCCTCCTCTAGGAATTTATTTCACTTATATGCCATAGAGAAAAATATATAACAATTTAAAAACCTAATACTCGATAAACAGATATATAAGTTGGTTTACTTCCATTCTAGTCTACTACTAATCTTTCTGTGCCTTGAGACTGGAAAGTGAAAACTACATTTCCCAGGAGCCCTTGCTAGTGGGAGTGCGGAAGGGTTTGAGTGCCGTTGGAAGAGTGCGTGGTCGGCAGTGGACAAAGTACCCTCTCCAGCGTGTTTTTGTTGTTCTGCTGCAGCGAACTGAAGCAAGCACAGCGTGTTTCCGCCTCTCGACCTCTTGGTTTGAAGACCTCTTTAAAGTAGTGCCGACTTTCGCAGGCTTTTAGGATTAAGCGGTGTGATTTTGGCTTTTGGAAATTCTACCCGGAATCTCGCCTAGTGCTAATGAATTCCGTTCTGCTTCAACTAGAAAGTACGGTATACAGCCGACCCATGTGCAATACGAGGGAATATCACACATCGATGCATAAGTCACATTGTCATAACTAATACGTGATATCAGAGTAAATTCTGAACTTTTTTTTTACTGGTTCAGTTTATTTTTTTCTGATTTAAAACTTACTAGCTATTAATTACATCAGAAACTTTAAAGGATCTCTATGTCTTTTAAAGCAAACACACGTGAGTAGTTGAACTTTGTTGTAGGCAAAATTTTTAATTGTTTTTTTAATAGAAAACAAAATACTTTGCTTTTACTTTTTTTTTTAAGATTTATTTTATTTATGCATCCAAGAACTGGGTTAAAGGCCAGAGAGGTTCAGGGAGTGAGAGAATTCATATAATACCAGCAATAACAATAATTATCACTTCCCTGTTTTTGAGCACTTAACTGCTATGTGCCAAATACTACACGTGCTTTCTTGCTAAATCTGCACAGTAACTCTCTGGGTAGGTAATCTGATTCTCTTGTATAGACCAGGACACACAGTAAATAGTTAAACATGACCACAATAACTCCATCCACAATTTGACCAAAAGTTTATAAGTGGTAGAATCTGGTTTGGATCAGAGAGTCAGAGTCCAGAGTTCTTAAAAAGAAATAAATATTTGTTTGTCCTTTAAACTATTTTATTTATTTTTTGCATCGAAGAGCTTGGGTTTATACCAGAGGTGTGGGGAGGGGAGCGGTTGAAAGTATTCACCAGCCTGAGTGAAGAACCGGGCGGACAGATTTACTGACATCCACCGCTAAGGGGAGCTGCAGCGGAGACCCGAGAGTTCTGCTGCACCCTAAGTAGGTAGCTCCCAGGCCAAATCTAACTCAGCCCTAGCAGTGACAGCACTGAGAGTTAACCTCTAGGCCACCAGGGAGGGCCGGAAGATAAATATTTGTAGTAGGCCTGACCACAACCAAATTACTATATACATAGAGGTTGATAGATTATCATTTAAAAATATAACTCTGGGCCAGCAAACCTCTCCTGTCATTCCCCTAAGTAGTATATTTCTGTCAGTTCACCTGTTCTGTTCTCTCCACACCCCACACCCCCATGAATCCTATCACCCCTCCTCCCACCCCCATCTCTGGCCTGTAGGCCAGTTCTTCTATGTATAAATAAATAAATCTTTATATATATATATATATATATATATATATACACATATACATATATATAATTCCAGTCATGTCATTCCAATGAACCACTTGAGATGACTTAAAGAGCAGAGTTCCAAGCCAATAACAACTCCCTGAATCTCTAGGTTTAAGATTGAAATCTGCATTTTCAATAAAGATTTTTCATTTAAAAAAGATTTTGCATTCATGCATACAATAACTGCAGTATAGGCTAGAGGTATGGGAGGTGAGAGGATTCACCAGAGATAGAGTGGGGAGCAGAACAGCTTAGATCTATGAAGTACACTGCTGAGAGGAGCAGGGGGCTGGTAGGAGAAGTCAGCCACACCATGTGGGTCACCTCTGGGGCTGGGGGTCGAACTTGTTTATGACTGTGGACAGCTTCATAGTGTTGTGCTACAATATAGGTTTTTATGAATCTTACATATAGGATAGTTGAGGATTCCAGATCGAAAGGATCAAGTTCAGACTCCTTATTTGGTATAAAAACCAATGTCTTAGGCAGTGCATGCCATGCAAAAAGACATTTAATAAAAAAAAAAAAAACTTGTGGGGAGGTAAAAAAAAAAACAAGGAAACAGGGAGGGGAGGAGGTAAAGATCAGTCCTGCTACTTAAGTGTTGGATAAAATTAAAACTTAAGATGAAGATAAGAAGATAGACTAGATACCATACAGAAGTTGCCCTGGTCTTCCTTGGGTAGGAAGTGTAACCTCCAATCTGCTTTCTTTATTTCTCCAAAAGGTCAGGTAGCTTTTGGAAAATACATGCAATCATTAATTGTAAATTTAACTATGCAGGTTTAAAATACCTTTCATTTTCATTCCTCTTCATTACATCTTCCTCTACTTGCACTGGCATGTGAACTGGTTGCTCTGGTCAAATGAGTCAGTTTAGATAGAAGCATTAATTTACAGAAGCACAGTTTATATAAAGGTGCTTCACAGGCATGCATAGTCACCTGTTATAAAAGTAGCGGTTGCACATCAATGTTCCAGTGAGTCCACAAAATTGCTAAAATACTCCCAGGAATTTGGCCTACAAGTACTTCAAAAAATCAGTCATGACATCTTCCCCACTTAAAACCCCTGGCAACCACTGATTTTTTTTTTATTACTATTTACATAGTTTTGCCTTTTCCAGAATGCAATAAGTTTTTCAAGATTTTTTTTTTCTATTTAGTGTTCCTTCATGTCTTTTCATGACTTAACAGCTAATTGTTTTTTATAATGCTGACTTGTGATTCCACTGTCTGGATGTTCCACAGTTTATCCATTCACTTACTGCAGAATATCTGAGTTGTTTGTACATTTTGGCAATTGTGCAGGTGTTTTGTGTGGACATGAGCTCCTTTGAGAAAATATCAAGGAGTATGATTGCTAAATTAAAGAGTAAAATTATGTTTAGTTTTGTAAGAAACCACCAAGCTACACAGTGGCTCTGCCATTTTGTGTTGCCATCAATGTTAAAAGATAAGCTGAGGCATTTTAAAATGTTTAAGAGTTTATTTGAGCAAAAATTAAGTCAAGTTGGATAGTATCAAACCGGAAGTAGTTAGGAGAATTTGATTCATAGGAGCTAGGTGACAGACACTTAACGTTGTCAACAGATTCCTGGGAACTTCAACTTAAGCAAATTGAAGAAAGCAGATACTTAAACAATGACCTTTTTGTTTAACCTCACTTGGGATTATTTTTTTCTCATCAAGGTTATAATGAAACATTTGAGTGCTATTTGTATAGAAAGAGTAAAGAAACAAAGCAAGGAAATTATTTATTGGCTATAACTTAAAGCCTAACTGGCCATTTGGAATTGTTACCTGGGTATTTTGAAATGGTAACCTGGAGAAATTTATTAGTTTAAATTTCGGTTTCCTATGGCCATTAGAGCCACCTCTGTCGAATGACCTCCTTATGTAATGAATTTAACAAGAGGTAAAGTTATATGTCCAAGCATAAGGGTAAGATACAGGCAGTTTTCAGGAAGAACGGTGGCTAAAATTAGTATATTACATACTACACCCAAGAGGTAGATTTTCTTATTGCTTTCCTCTCTGCATTTCGTCATTCTTCTTTACTGGAAGATCAAGCTAATCTGCTGCATAGTTCACATTATAATGAAAAAATAATTAGCTAAACTTATTAGATATAATTTCAGCCACATGGAAAAAATAATTCCTGGTCTGATTCCATTGCTAAATTCTGAGAGAAGTGACATGGGACTTATTCTTACCCCTGTTTTACTCTCATCACCAGGGTTAGGAGACGCTTGGCTTTATACAACTATGACTACCAGAATTTATATATCCAAGGGGCAAATAAGGGCAGTGGTATTCTGGAGCTGACTCATAATGACTTACAGAACCCAATAGTTAGAATTTTCAGAAATGTTGCCAACTGGTTACTAAAAATAGATTGTTAGAAATCAGGCTTCAGAAAATGATAAGTGAATTATTAGAGATGAAATAAGAAATTTGAAAACTTACCACTCCCTAATTCTTGCAACTAAAATGTATTATTTTCTGTGTTTTCGAGGGTATTTATTTATACATATCACATCTATGTGCTAAAAATGTAATATTGTATATTACTGCAAAGCTCTGTTCAGTGACAATGATATTGGCAACTTGAAATCAGTCATGATGAGAATATTTATACCACAAAACTGGCAAACAAAAGGTTTTACCTTTTGGGAAGCTTATTGTTAAATCTTTACCAGCTCACCACTGGTTATAAGACTCAAAGTACCCTTGGGCCTCCTTGGTAGCCCAGGAGTTAAAGTCAGTACTATCAAGCTATCAGAAGCTACTGCTACATGAGTTCGATCCCCCACCAGGGAGATTACACACATGATTAAGCATGTGCTAGGATGCTCCAAAACACGAGAGCAAGACCTTGCCTGTCCTGCCCGCTGTTCGCTCTCAGCAGGGTATTTCAGTGGATCTGCCTGTTCTGCTCCCCACTCTGTCACTGGTGAATACTCTCACCCATCCAACCCCCTGTACCTCTGGCCTACACCCCAGTTCTTGTATGCATAAATAAATATATAAATCTTAAAAAGAAGCTCCTCCCAAGTACCTATAACAAAAGTAATTGTATACAATTGTTTCTTCTTCTAGTTTTGACATTCTACTAAATTATAAGATAGCTTGAGTATAAACTGTAATTGGAATTGGTTATTGTGATAAAAGCTGAATTGTGCATGAAACTTCAAAAACATACACATACAATGGAATTACTAATGGGAGAATTCATTCTTTGTTTGATTGATATATTTTTCTGCTCTTACCAGGAGTGGCAGTGAAGAATGTAGGTTAAAAGTGCACAGACACTGAAATCAGAAAATCTATTAGTTTTCAAGATAGTAATCTGTAAAGTGAGGATTAAATAGGAGTGCCTTTACAAAGCACTTTTCACAGTGTTTGGTCCTTCATAATGACTCAGTAAATATTAAATGGGGGCCTCCCTGGTGGTGCAAGAGGTTTAGTCTCAGTTCCATGAAACTTTTGGCAGCCACTACAGCATGAGTTTAATCCCAGGCCAGGGAGTTGACCTACATGATGCAGCAGACCTTTCCTATCTTGCCTGCTGCTCCCCTCAGCAGTGTATTTCAGCTCGCCACTCTGTTTCTGCTGATTCCTCTCACATCCCCTTAACTCAGGCCCACAACCCTGCTCTGATATATAAAAATAAAATAAAGTAAATCTCTTGAAAAAGTTTTGTTGGCTTAATAGCAATTCCTGAAAACACCTCTTAGATATGGAAATTTCTTCTTCTTTTTATTTATTTATTTGTTAAATATTTGTTTATTTATGCATACAAGAGCTGGCATTTAGGCCAGAGATGCAGGAAGAAAGAGGAGTCACCAGATAGAATGGGGAACAGAACTGGCAGGTCTACTTTGGCTGATCTGCACTCAGGTCTACACTGCTGGGGGAGTAGTAGCGGAGACAGGAGAGGTCTGCTGTACCCTGTGGGCCATTTCCCTGGCTGGGGATTGGAGTTGTGCTGCAGTGGCTGCCTATAGCATGATAGCCCTGTGTCTTTTTTTTTTTTTCTTTTAAAGATTTATTTATTTGTGCATACAGAACTGGGATATAGGACAGAGATGCAGGGATTCACCAGAGATACAGTGGGGAGCAGAACAGGCCAACTGATGAAGTACGCTGCTGAGGGGAGCAGCGGGGCGGGTCAGGAGAGGTCTGCTGCGCCATGTGGTCACCTCCAGGGCAGGTGAACTCATGAGGAAGTGGCTTTAGCTTCTTAGTGTTGTGCTTTAACCTGCTGCACCACCAGGTCCCATTGCCCTGTGTCTTTAACCCCTGTGCCACCAGGGAGACCTTCTTTTTTTTATTTTTTAAAGTTTTATTTTACTTATTTATGTATACAGGAACTGAGGTGTAGGCCGAGTGTGGGGTGGGGGGGGTGAGGACTCACCAGAGATAGAGTGGGGTGCAGAAGAGGCAGATAGAGACAGGAGAAATCTGCTGTGCCTTCTGGGTCACCTCCCTGGCAGGGAATCAAACTCATGGTGAAGTGGCTGCAGATAGCTTCATAGTGCTGCATCTTAACTGCTTGGGCTACCAGTGTTAAATATTTCTACCCAGGCACATAATAATATCTGATTTTTTTGTCCTATTAATTAGCAGCAATTAATAGCCATTGCCTTGATCTGTTTCAGCAATGATTAGAAAATGAAGTCAGGGCCTCCCTGGTGGTGTAGGGGGTTAATTTCAGCACTGTCACCACTGTGGTCTGGGTTAGCTCCTGGCCAGGGATGCTAATCCACACATAGCACAGCAGACCTCTCTTATTTCCCCTGCTGCTCCCCTCAGAAATGATAATGTCCTAGTTATAGCATTTCTTCATTCTGGTCATTTATTAGCTATATTTTCATAAAGACAAACTTTGCTTCACTGTTTACTTGCATGGCAATCGAGATACAGTACTGATTGGAAAGCCAAGAAACATGATATCCACTTGTTTAGCAGTTTTGAAAATAATGAGCTGGTTTCTTGGTATTATCTAAAAGATATATCTTTTTAACTATTAAAAATTCATGGATTGAAACTTTTGTGTAAATTTGATGTTTCAATCCAAGGCAATTTTATCTTTATAGATGCTCAAAATGTCTTATATTTGACCAGTATGACCCACAACTCTTTTGAGTCATTTTGTTAGAACCCTGACATTCTTTCACTAGTACTTTCTGGTATGATAAGATGTTTAATTTCATATTCTACATTTAGCTCCCCTATATTAATAGTCTATAATATTCTAGGTTAAATCTTTATTCCTTACTGTATGTACATCACCTTTCTCCTTAGGCAACAGAATTCAACTACCAATTTTTTTTTTCAGAGTTCCCATGCTTCATATTCAATTTAATCAGTATTATTAGTAATGATTCAAAGGGGTAATGAAGGCCAAATCATATTGAAAAGTATGTACTCTTATTAAAGGCATTTAAACTCAAATAAAAGCCCATAAACACTGTGCTAGTTCAAGGAAAGCCTTAGGTCAGCAGGCACTAGTTGCAAACTGGGAATTATATCCTAACTCTGGCTTAATATAATATTGAATATTGTGAAAAATAAATTTCAGATACTTTAGATCTTCTTATGTTTTTCTGAAGAGTGTTTATCACCTGAGACTTGTCTAGACTTAGCTTTATATCTTATAGGTAAGATTTGTGCAAAGTCCATTCCTACCCTCCAGTGGGATCAGACTTGAAATTCTGTTTCTATAGAACTTGTATTCTTTTTATTTTAGGCTAAGTCCTGATTAGGACCATTCTTCTATTATGTGTCCTGTCCTTCAAATACTATCTCAGCTGCTTGCCCTGTCACTCATTATCTGGGG